GTTTATTATATGGGCAATGAAGGTGTGAAGGCTTCAGTCCCTAATTTAAATATGTTTTGTATGGGGGGAAATTATATCTGAAAAAGCTGCCACCGAAGAGAGAGAGAGAGAGAGAGGGAGAGAGGGAGAGAGAGAGAGAGAGCAATCATAATCTCACTATAGAGACAGGCAGATATCGACAGAACTGGCTGCCCAAAGAGAGCGACATCTGCCCATACTGTAATCATAGAGAAGTGGAGACAGAGCAACACTTCCTCACCAGCTGTACTATGAAAAAATTAGAAAGAAATTTTATCCAAAATTTGAAATACTTAGTTTGTCCTGACTTCAAAATGTTAAACAATAAAACACAACTTCAATATTTATTAGGGGAAAAAAAGAGATTGTATCTTACTAGCAGCAAGATACATTGATGCCCGTCACAAACAGAGGGAGGAGTCAACAAATCAATGATGCGCCTACACACACACACACCACACAGCACTGAATTTTAAATTGTTCATAGAATAAGAGAGAGAGAGAGAGTGTGTGTGTGTAAGTGTGCATGAGTAGTGTTTATGCACCCTGTTAGTTTTTGTGACTGTAGTCATGAAAACAAACTGAGATGGCATCAAGCAGCCCAGACATGCCATGAGATATTTGGCATATTTGTGGCAAAGTTTTTATCTATCAGGTGAAAATATATACATATTACCTACAGTATGCACATATGGTATGCTTTTGATTAATAGACTGTGATGTGAAATAAAAAAACGGAGGGTTTTCCTGAGAGCTGCTCTCAATGTTTGTTTTGTTTTGTTCTTGCTCAGTGCTTGTATAGGCTTGAAACGCAGGAAAGCACTTGTTTGAACGCTTCAGCTGCTCTGAACATAAATTGGTTGTAATATGCATTCAGTCCACCAGGTGGGACTAGAACAACTGAATTAAGAGCTGAAACAACAAGGGCATGTCACCAATAAGTAATGATCCCATTTTTGAGAAAAACTTTTACACATATATTTCTAAAAGAGTGCCAAAAGTCAAATAACACATGAAACAATACTAAAGATTAGAACAAAAACAAACAAACAATTAAATAAATAAATACATAAATATTTTCTTCTTTCATATGAAAACTTGTAGTAGCCTACTTAACATAAAAAGTGTGTGTGTGTGTGTGTGTGTGTGCATATATATATATATATATGTCTAATTTAACTGCACTTCTTAATGTTAAAGCCTTTTGCATTTATTTTAAAACTATTGGCAATGTCAGAAAGACATATTAGGCTATAGAAAAACTGAGAGCATGTGAATATCTGAAGTATTGATTAAGCAAACAGAATAAATAGCTACCTTAAGTAACCCTAAATAAAGTTCAACATAACAGTAAGCAATGTCTGAATTTTATAGTCCATTTGCATTAGAGTCCGTTTAGTATATTTCTGAATAACCATGGAAATTCAATTAAAAAAAATGATTTGAAGCTAAATCAATCAATCAATAATCAAACCCTTTGACATACAAAGTGAATTTGTGGTTTGCAAATGTCAACACATTTCTTTGAGGGTACAATGATCCATGCAAATTATGTTTCATAATATTAAAGGGATAGTTCATCCAAAAATGAAAATCGCCTGCTATTTTGAACTTGATTTTGTGTAGCTTGTCAGTGATCTACGGATCTGTGTAGTAAATGCCGCTCCATCTGAAAGCACGTGCTGGAGATTTACTACGAATCACCAGAAGCGGCTTTACTGACGAGATTCACATGGAAATCGCATTCGATTTTTTGCCCAGCCCAATAACATAATTTATTCTCCCCGAGTTACCGTCTTCCACCATTTTGGAGAGTACCCCAGCATGTAATCAACGTAATGAGCCCTGTTTACGTTCAGCATGCGTGCGCTGTCTACTGAACGTAAACAACGCTGATTACGTTCTGGGGTACTCTCCAAAATGGCGGAAGACGGTAACTCAGTGAGAAGAACTGCTGAATAAATTATGTTATTATTATTATTATCTTTGCGCACAAAAAGTATTCTCGTAGCTTCATATAATTACAGATGAACCCCTGATGTCACATGGACTATATTACCGATGTCCTTGCTACGTTTCTGTGCTTTGATCGTGGTAATATCATTGCGGTCTATGGAGGGTCAGAGAGCTCTCAGAATCCATCAAAAATATCTTAATTTGTGTTCTGAAGATGAAAGAAGGTCTTACGGGTTTTGATTGGAACGACATGAGGGTGAGTAATTAATGACAGAATTTTCATTTTTGGGTGAACTAACCCTTTAACAGTTCTAACCTAAAAGTAACAATTTCAACCACAAGCTATTTTCAGTATTTACTCTGGCTTTAGAAAAAAAAAAAAGTTATTTAACTATAAATTACTTCATGTGCATGAAAACATTTAACATCCAGCTACACTTCAAAACATTTTTAGACTGATTTAGTTTGAGTGCTGTCCCAAAAATGCTTCCCTTTAAATCAAGACTATAAAAAAGTGCTCGCAGAAGCGACATCACCTAAACTGACTGATTAGGGAAGAGGACATTTCAGGGTTTGTAGTTTTCTGCCAATATTTTTAGCCATTAGGTAGAAGTTTGCCTGACTAACACCTAAAAGGATGGTTGTTACAAGAGAGTACAGTGCCATGACAGTGCAAATCAAATGGCCGCCCTGATCCATAAAAACAGCAAAATATGCAAAGAGCTCTTCTGTCATGAGCCACCCTGAAGCGAGAAAGAAGAGGACACCCTGTATAATGCCCAAGATTGTCACTTTCATCTGCTGCTTTTTACGAAGAGCAGAGAAAGAGCTGGCGTTCTCCTCCATTCTCTTTATGTGATTCCACAAGTAGACAACAGTCGCACTGCTTGATGCCAGCATAATGCCCAGACAAAGCAAAAAATAGCAACATCTAATCCAAAAGTCTATGTGTGATAATATGTAGATTCCTAAATCTGTTGTTTCAACTGGTGATGTTCACATGAACTCTTGTTGAATTCAAGTTCATTGCAGAAACTTCCCAGATAACGCGTACAAGGAATTCAGACAGAAAGAAGAGTCTGTCGACAAATAATGCCAAGTACACAATGAGTCTGATGTGCTTCTTCATCCAGATCAAAAAAGGCCACCGTACAGGAACAATTTGGAAGTAGTAACACACATTCAGAGCAAGGGAGGCAGTAAAACCAGTCCACATGGCAAAGAGAATACCGGCTGCTAAAAGAATGTGAATCCATGGAGCTGGATCAACAAAGTCGAAAAAAACAAATAAAAGGTTTAAAATGTTAAGAATAAGATTGCATCCAATAAGTGACCACAGTAAAACATTAAGCAGCGGTTTTATGCTGTTGACTGGTCCTTTCTGAGAAAAAATCATACAGTAGGCGAAAAACATATTCATCAGAATAGTGGCAATAGAAACAGGCACATTTACTACGGCAAATGCCACCATGCTCATGTTAACAATAAACGAAAACATTTTTTCCACTGGCCAACAAGAGAAAGATATTTCTTATATGTACAAAGGTGGTGTGAAGGTTCCACCCCTAATTTAAATACATTTAGAATGGGGGACAATGACATCTGCAAAAACCTATGTAAAATCTGAGTAATGAAACATGACATCTGGATTAAGCTTAACGTATTAAGTTCAGCTCTTCTGTACATTTCAATGCACAAAATACTGTAGAAAGTTTATTTGAAATGGAAATTAGTTTCTGTCTGAATCATTTCCACTTTTTTAAAATTACTTACTGTGGTCAATTTGATGTTAATGCTTCGTGATTATAAATGCATTTACTCCGGTCCATGGATCATGACTTCCACCCATCTGCATTTATTTGCATTTCTAAAACCAGAGGGCACCACATGACAAAGGACAATGGTACACAAATGGTTCCAAAATTGTAATTTACTGTCACTGACTCATTTAGTCTACTTACCCTCATGTCGTTCCAAATCGTATGACTTCCTTTCCTCCGTGGAAAATAGATTTTAACGGAATACACTGGCCAAATGTAAAAATGAGGCGGCATAAAAGTCATTGTACGACTCATGCACTATATTCAAAGTGAAGTGTGCTCCACTGCTCCTGCTGTGCACTCAAATCAAATTTGGCGGCGCCATTAGACGCACTCGCGCGAGAACCAGCGGCTTTTGGCGCCTTTTTGTAGTGTGTTTTGTAGATATTTTTTGCAGTCCATTTTGTAATTTCTACAGAAGTAAAAACTATTAGAGATAAACTATTTAACTTAAGTTTGTTCCTTAAACAAAGCTATAGTATGGTTGAATACTTTGAATTTGGATTAGCCACAAAACCAGTCATAAGAATCTTTTTTTTTTTTAATTGAGATTTATACATCATTAAAGAAAAGCTGAATAATAATAAAAGCTGAATAAATAAGCTTTTCATTGATGTATGGTATGTTAGGATAGGACAATATTTGGCCAAGATACAACTATTTGATTATCTGGAATCTGAGGGTGCAAAAATATCAAAATATTGAGAAAATCGCCTTTAAAGTTGTCCAAATGAAGTCCTTAGCAATGCATATTACTAATCAAAAATTACGTTTTAATATATTTACAGCAGGAAATTTACAAAATATCTTCATGGAACATGATCTTTACTTAATATCCTAATGATTTTTGACATAAAAGAAAAATCTTTTTTTGACCCATACAATGTATGGGTATGTATGTCTATTGCTACAAATATACCCGTGCAACTTAAGACTGGTTTTGTGGTCCAGGGTGTACAGTTAATAAAGTGTAAATTATCTAGTTGTCAAAAAGTTGTTCTCGCTGATGTTATACTGTACATGTTCATGTACAATTATTCAAATATAAAGATCCTTCATTATGCTTACATTAGAAAAGGCCAAAAGTTGTCGAAGAAAGAAAATAGCAGATGACAACCATTTATAAGGTAAGCTTGGTCTTTTAAGGCGGGGCTTAGTAAATGGTCAGATAAGAAATGAACAATTACATTAAACACAAACATAAGAAATCATACTTTATTTCTCTTTTATTTTACAATACAATTCTGACTACAACGCCAGATTCAAGTGTCCATCCACAGAGGAGGGGGAAAATGCTAATGAGGAAAGGAGTGTCTGATATTAAAGATTACAAATAAAGCACATCTCACAAGAACACACATTAGCTAAAATAAAAATGGACACCTGGAAAAAGGGGGAAGTCCATCCTCTCATGCACCACCAAGCATCCATACAAACACATGGGAGGTCCTCAGATCATACTACAGTATCTTTATCTGATACAGAAAACTTAAATAAAATAAATTAGGAAACAAACAAGGCAGCACTGTGTTTTATGATTATTACTGTTGTTCAAACAAACTGTAATACCTTGTGGCATTATTTGCTACATTTCACATGAATGCTGCATCCAGTAATATTGTTTCAAAATCCTACCAGCTTTTACACAGGTTTAGTTCTCCAGCGTAAATCTCACACCATTTCTCTGATAAAAACTCAACCACTACAAAGCATTAAAGCGATGGTTTACCCCAAAAATGTAACAATGTCATCATATACTCACCCTCATATTGTTCCAAACACATTATTTTTCCAAGACGGAACAAAAAAAGAGATGTTTTAAACAATGTTTACACTGCTCTATTCCATACAGTGTAGGTGAATGGGGACCAGGGGCTGTTAAGCTCCAAAAAGCACCATAAAACATACTAATAATGGTCAATAAGACCAAGAAATGAAAGGTATACATGTTTTGGGTGAGTACATGATATCAGAAGTTTCATTTTGGAGTGATCCATCTCTTTAACTTTTGATTAACATTCACAAACAGACATACAGATACCCCATCACACACAAAACACAGTACAAACCAGTTGGGTACATTATTCCAAGTACAAATATGATACATTTATGGCTTTTTCCATTTGAGATAATATCTGTTTGAGGAGTTCATAGTGCAAACTTTTAGAATATAAAAGTTATACTGTAGCCCAGGCATCTTACGTGTTATTCTAATTTAACTGACTTCCACAGCAGAAACTAAAGTCTTATTGTGGCACTGTGTTCTAATGCTAAATTGACCCAGACAGGCCTCTGCAACTTTCTTCCATTCTCACAGATAATGGTCTTTTCCTGCCAGCTCATTTTCACATTCAAAAGCCTTTAGTGGTCAGTATCCAGCTCCAGGATCTGCGGCAGGTCCAACCATGCCGTGAGAGCTTATATGCAGAATCAGATTGCACACCTGCTGGCTAAGGCCGTCAGAAGTAGTCCCTTCGCCGTGAATCGTCGCTTATGAAGGAAGGGTTCCACTGAGCTGGGTAGATGCAGGAATGCCTGGAACCGGGGAGACCGGAGAATGGATACAGGCCATTACGCTCCAGGTCAGAGTTCCTAAGTGCAGGCTAAGAGAGAACAGCAGTCACATATTAGCTAATCATGTGGAAAATTCACTAACTCAGGATGTGCATGGCCATGTGAAGTGTTTTTCTGCCACAAAACAAAAAATAAAATTAGTAATTGCAACTTTTTATCTCACAATTCTGACTTTTTTTTACTCACAATTGCAAGTTTATTCTCACAATTCAAACTAACTGTGAGCTTCATAATTCAGACTTCTCACAATTTCTGAGAAAAAAGGCAGAATTGCGAGATGTTAATTGCAAGTTACCATTAACAACACAACTGCAAATAAAAGTCTGAATTGTGAAATTTAAACTCAGAATTGTAAATAAAAAGTTGCAATTTCCTTTTTTATGTTTTAATTCCATTGTAGAAAAAAAGCTTCCATATAAGACACATTAAAAAAACAAAGCCTCCATAAATGCCATGGCTCATTTCTGATTTTGCAATTCACTAGAAATGACCAATGAAATCTCTGGAGTTTAAACTGCATGATCAAATGTAAAATCAATCAAAAGCTTATGACAGGTGCATATGATCACCTACCGAGTAATAAATGTCTGTCATCTGCAGGAGATTTTTGGTACTGCCGTTCTCCTGCATCTCAATAGTCTCTCGGCCCCACTCCATAGACACACGATTACTCTTAGGAAACTCTGCGTAGGGCGACATCTGAAGGTCTCCACTTTTGAAAATGATTTTGTTGATGTCATTTTTGTCCTTTCTGAGGATGCAGAGAGCAAAAATATTTTTGAGACATTTTTGTAGTTTAAAACTTCCCAAGATATTTATCTGTAAAATAAGGAGGAAAGCAGCATATTTATTTCAAGATCTTACTTGCAGCAGGTGACTATAAGAGCAATGATGACAATCAACAGAAGAGCTCCTCCAGCAGGAAAGACCACCACAGCTATCAGCTTATAGACTATTAAACACAAGATTATTTTAGTGACATAAAGATGAAACACCTAACCCACCTAACCCTAAATCTGAAAATAATACAATTTAACTGAACATTTTTCACAAGCTTTATATAACATGCCGCTAAATAATTAAGTTATAAAAATAAAGCTATTTTTAAATATTTTAATATCAAAGATTTTATCAATCAAAATATAATGTAAATTGAAATAAAATCTTACAGTTATTGCAGTTGAAACCTCCAAATCCAAACATGCACCTGAAGAAGTAAAAAAAAAAAGTTGTTCTTTTTTTCTGCAAAAACACATACGTACAAAACACATACTAATACATTTACATTTAGTCATTTTGCAGATGCTTTTATCCAAAGCGACTTACAATTGGGGAATACATAAAGCGATTCTTCTTAAAGACGCAAACAGACACAGGAAGTGCTCGTAATACCAAGTTTTAGGCATTGTTCAAATAAGTACAAGCTAGTAAGAGAAGTAATAAATAAAGAGAAAGACAAGTTTTTTTTTGTTTTTTTTTATTTAGGATGAAGTCAAGTAGCATCGAAAGAGATGAGTTTTCAGCTGTCGCTTGAAAATTGTCAGGGTAATACACACTACCAGACAAAATTAATTAAATTTGTTTCCCATGATCCTTTTAAATCTTTGATCTAAGGGCTTATTCTTAAATGCCTGAAAGTGGAAATAGATGAGTTGGACCGTAAAGTCAAGGAAAGCAGCCAAATAGCGACAAACATGCCCAGCATAAATGAGAACTCTCAAAAGTGTTTAAAAAGCATCTCAGGAGGCACCTCATGAAATTGAGAGAATGCCCAGGATGGTTAAGAAGTGGCTAAGAAGCTTGAAGAAGCTAAAATCAGAGTTTTTATCTAAAACTAGAACCATAAAAAAAACAAATTTTTGTTGAAATAAATGTTAACTGAACTTTATTATTTATTTACTTTTAAAATTATTTGATTTTGTTTCATTTAGTTTAGGTTGAAGTACTAAAATAACTAAAAGTAAACTTAATAAAAATGAATAAATACCACATTATAAAATCTTTAACTAAAATTTAAGTGAAAATAAAAAATAAAATCTAATTTTAAATATTCCAAAAAACTATAATAGTACATCAATGATACTAAAATGACACTGGCTAAAATGCAAGATTTAAAAAAAATTTTAACTACTTCATACTCAGTTTGTGCTATTTGATAGTTTTGAATGACTTTATTATTCTAAACTGTGGGGAAAAAACAATCATCTATAATTAGTAGGTGTGTCCAAACATTGACTGATTGTTTACAGTAATATTTACTTAAAATTCATTACAAAAACATATACTTACTCAACACAGCTGCCGTTAACAAGCTTGAGTCCATCTCCACAGTCTAAAAAAGTGAACCAAATTAAAAATTCTAAATGAGAAACTTGGCATTCATTTGTACAGCGGCGGCAAAGTCCCACAGTTTAAATATATTCAATCAAAGAACTGAAAAAACACAATCATATGTTGTACCTCTGCAGGTCATGTCCTCTGGGTTCTTTTTAAAGTATCCTGGTTTGCACTGACAGTACGAGGTCCCGCTAGAGTCCGTGCACTCAGAGTACTGCAAATCACACTTGGTCTTCTGGGCCAAACACAGGCTCTCCGCTAAACAGAAAGAAGTGCTTCAGAACAAATGGCTTCCCAGAGATAAACAGTGTGACAAAGAGCTTTCCAAAATATTATTTTAGGGGCTAAGAGAGCCCCCCCCCCCTCAAGACTGTGTTATCCATTTGTATTGCGTGACTGGTATTATCATATCTCTGAAGTGGTGGAGTGGAGTGGAGGATAAGAACAGAAGGGGATGGCTTTGAGATAACAGTATGATGTAGACAGTGAGCGCTGAATGGTACCGTGATAGGAGAGATGGTGCTGAAGCTTAATGGTGCAGTGCGAGTACGTCCGGCTGCAGTTGCTCAGGGATGTCTGGATGCTGTTGAAGACATCCGTGCTGGTCACATTGGTGGAGAGTGAAAACATGCTCACCGCTGAGATCTGCACATCTCCTCCATCTCTGCACAAGGAATATGCATTCACATGTGAGAACAAAGAAAAATCATGCCCTGAATTCAAGTTAGAAGTGAAAATATGAATTTGCATATAAGAGTAATATTACTGAGTACTATGAATTACTTGGCAACAGGTACTGTAGGTGGTATGAAGAAAATTTCTACTGATAACAGTATCACTATATTAGTTTGGGGTCAGTCATTTTTTTTTTTTTTTTTTAATACTTTAATTCAGGAAGGATGTATTAAATTGATTTTATAATGTAACAAAAAATATATATTTTAAATAAATGCTGTTCTTTCTATTCATCAAAGAATCCTTAAAAAAGTATTAAAGCTTCTGCAAAAATATTAAGCATCACAACCGTTTACATTTCAACATTAGACATTTCTGAAAGATCATGTAACACTGAAGAATTTTTTTAATGCATTAAAATAGAAAATATTTTGACTGTAATTGCAATCAAAAATACTGCTTTTACTGTATTTTTGATCAAATAAATGCAGACTTGGTGAGCATAAGAAACCATCCAAAAACAAACAAAAAAATGTTTCCACCAAACGTTTGAACAGTAATGTAGGCTATATTTCTAAAAATGCTGTAATATACACTGAACAAAATTATAAACGCAACACTTTTGTTTTTGCCCCCATTTTTCATGAGCTGAACTCAAAGATCTAAGACTTTTTCTATGTCTGCACATTTTAGAGTGGCCTTTTATTGTGGCCAGCCTAAGGCACACCTGTGCAATAATCATGCTGTCTAATCAGCATCTTAATATGCCACACCTGTGAGGTGGATGGATTATCTCGGCAAAGGAGAAGTGCTCACTAACACAGATTTAGACAGATTTGTGAACAATATTTGAGAGAAATAGGCCTTTTGTGTACATAAAAAAAGTCTTAGATCTTTGAGTTCAGCTCATGAAAAATGGGGGCAAAAATAAAAGTGTTGCGTTTATAATTTTGTTCAGTGTATTTTTGGAGAATCCATTTAATTTAATTAATCATTTTGATTAAATATTAAAATGGTATCAAATCAGCTTTATATTACCACGTTATTTCATGTTTGGGACACATCTCACTCTGTATTTTCACTTTATTTCTTGCATTAGTCTCTTTAAACAGTCCTGCCTACTGATAGCTGCACAAATATATCTGAAGGATCATGTGACACTTAATAAGGCTGTATAAATGGTATTGCAAAATGTATAGAAAAGATATTGACTCTTGGTTGACATCAGTAGCTGCATGGTACAGTTGATTTTTAGTGCAACATATGGCCTATTCCTGCTGGGTCTCTGAAAGATAGAAAGTAGAAACGTACTTTTTATGTAAAGTGGAACGTCGGTAGCCATGGAAGATGGAAAGCGAGGTATTGAGCTGAAAAACCAATACACAAATGTATAATATTAACCTCAACTCAATGTTCAGTACATCACATTATCATCTGCAACCAATTTCATTCTCTGTTTCTATAATGGTTTCTGCATTAGCTGATTGGCTGTGGGTTTTGTGGTTGTAAGGTGGAGAAGTCAGGTGTGTGATGCAGTACAATGTTGCATACCAGCTGTAAAATCTCTCTGTGCAGCTCATGCGGACCTGAACTTCTGAGATGCATTGAGGTGTTGACGGTGAAAGTGCCCAAAAATGTCTTCACTGCAGGGTAAAGCCAAAGCGAATACAATAAGGTTATCGTAGCGTTATCACCAAATTATATTTATGCACTATTTTATACACATTATTTTATTGAGGACAACTGACCACTTACCTTGCGTACAACTGCGGCCATCCTCCAAGTCATAGCCCAGGGCACACTGGCAGCTGAAAGAGCCACCGGTGTTGACACACACTGAACCCTGGGGGCACGGACTATTCACACACTCATCCACATCTACAGAAAAACACACAGCCTAATCAATCATTGTTCATTTTTGTCACAAACCCTCATGAAAACAAGTATTACTAGACGCATATGTGATTTATTATGGACAAACGATATGTTATCATCTTCAATCTTGTTTAAATAAACGGAAGAAAATGGAAATACTGACATTGAAACAGAAAACAATACATAACGGATGTATTTAAATTAATATCATTTAATGTATTTATGCTATATTATATTCTAGTGACTAGCATGATTAAAACCTTTCATTTGATATTACAACATTGGAGCTGTGGCAATCTGGGTAAGTTGATTCCTGTTGCTGTTTGTCACTGCACTTTTAACATTCAGTCATGTGACTGCCACATCCAAGATGAAAGATGGTGTATATTTAAGTGGGCTTCTTACATTCCGTGCAGAAGGGTCCTGTCCATGCAGGCAGACACTGACAGTGGTAACTTCCCTTAGCTGATCTAACACAGTGGCCTCCATTTGCACAAGTTTGAGGCCCACACACATGATCTACAGAGGAGAAAGAGATGGCTTGAATTGTTCAAAGTAAATCAAATGAACAGGTGTATTCACAAACAATGTTTACAACTGTAAACAACGGAACTACTAACATTAAAATTTTTATTTTTGCAAAAATCACGTTTACGACACTAGTGTGGTTGCCAGAGTGGTTCTAAGGAATTTTTAACACTATGCTATACAGTTACTAGAGTGATGCTTACTAGTCAAAAGAGCCAAACCAAGTCTCCATTTCAGTCTATGGGATTTGTTTGTCTGTTTTATCATCTGCTAAAGAAACACTTTAATAATAATAATAATAATCCACTCCCAAATAAAAATTCTGTCATCATTTATGACTTTCTTTCTTCTGTGGAACATAAAAGAAGTTAATTTGAGAAATGTTGCAGTGTTTCATGTTTATATAATGGAAATCAGTGGCCTCCAATGTTCTTTTAAAAATCTTCTTTTTTTGTTCCACAAAATAAAACTAAACACTAAAAAACACTATTAATTTAATAACACTGTTAAATGTAATCTTCATGAAATTTTAAAATGAATGTCTATTTTTCATACAGTACATTATACTGCTGTGATGCCTTGTAGCATTTAAGTTTAGTTCTTTTTTTTTTCATTTATTTAGACAAATGCATACTACTGTTCGAACATTTAGGGTCTTTGGGTTTTAGGGTTTTTATAAGAAGTTGCTTATGCTCGCCAATGCTGCATTTATTTGATAAAACAATACAACAAAACAGTAATATTATGACATTATTTTAATATATTTTCAAATGCTGCTTTACATTTGAAATCATTCTTTTTTTAAAACAGAAACTTCAAAAGAGCAGCATTTATTTAAAATATAAATCGTTTGTAACATTATAGATGTCTTTAATTATAACTTTTGAATGGTAGTGCATATACATTTAATATTGCACATTTATCTGTTATAGCCAGGCCAGAACTGTAATATCGGTCAATCCTTAACAAGCACCATCATTAATAATACCAAAAAAATTATGATTTGAATGATGCAATTTGCAAGTCACTGTATAAATACTAAAAGTCGAACATACCTGGTGATGCTGTTGACTTAAATGGCATCTGCGTGGTTGTCATTCCCATCTCTGTTGTGCTTCTGTCCGTGTGATTCCGGGTGGTTTCCACCACAGTGGTCTTGGTTGGGGTGCTCTTGCTGTAGGGTGTTGTTGCACGTCGGCCATGTGCAGTAGTGTTCCCTGGTGTTGCCGTGCTGGTTTCTAAGTGCAAGGTGGTGACATTAGCAAAATCAGATGTACTGGGTGCCTGTGGTCCACCAGTAGTGGAGGTAAGCGGACGTTGGGTTGTGGTGGGTGTCGTCCGCAGTACCTGAACAATATCTGTGGTAGCGATGGTAGTGTGTTCTGTTTGGGCTAGCGGTGTGGTGCTCGGTTGGAGCTGACGGGTGGTGACGGGAGGAATCGTTGTAGTGAAAGTGTTGGTAGAACTGTAAACAGTTGATGCCTCATCAGTGGCTTCCTCTGTAACCTGTGGCCTATGAGTTGCTGGCATGGCAGATGTTGGCACCACTTCTGTGTTGGTCTGATCATCAGTTTTTGGGACGAAGGGTGATTTGCCAGCAAGGAACGTCGTAAATGAGTCATCAATTGTGGTGGCTACATCTTCGGGCACTGGGGGTGCAGTGGTCAGGCCCTGAATGGTTGTCTCCTCCACTGTATGGGTCGGAGACCCTTCAAGTTCCTCACGGCCAGTTGAGCTAACAGATTCAGTAGAAAACTCAGTGGAAGCATCAGTATCCAGAGAATAAGTCACTGTGGAATCACGGCTCTGTTGGGATATGCTAGTGGCACTGTATCCACCGGAGGTAAAAGGTGGGATAGATGACACAGAGTCACCGGTTTCTGTATAAGACGTCCCACCACTCACCGATGTGGCGTCCATTTCCCCTTCATCTCTGTTGATCATTGTAAGAGGGGGTGTTGAATTTGGATTGTCATTATCAGATACCTGTTGAACAGTCTGTCCTGTGACACTAGATTGTCCCGTCTGTGACTCAGTGCCATGGGAAAACGTTGACTGCTCGGTCTCCAAAGAGTGGCCTTGAGTTGCATTGGTGGCATTATGATCTTCAAAAGTGGGTTCAGTCTGTTCAGACAATGTAGATACATCTACGGTTTCCTCCTTGCCCTGGGTGGCTCCTGACGTTCTCACTTCCCAAATGGAGGTTTGAGAGACAGCATCCGAGGAGTTGGAGTCCTCAGTGTACGCAGAGGTGCTGTTGGAGGTCACTGAGAGGAGTGTGCGTTCTCTGACTCGGTTGGTTGTGGAAATGTAGGTGCTATCAGTGTGAGAGACCGAGTCGGTGGTGTCAACGTCTCTCAGATCCGTTGTGGGAACCTCTCGCACTGTTCGAGCCTCTGTAACGGGATGGTGGCTGGTGATGCTGTGCGATGCTACTGATGGACCCTCCCATTGGGCTGTGGCATTATGGGCAAACTCTTTGTCAGTCTGCAGATGTTCAGTGGAATCATCCGAGGTCATCCTCCAGTCAGCTGTGTTTGTAGAGATGCTTAAAGGTTTTTCTGAATGTCCTGGTTTGGGGAAATAAAGAACAATATATTGGAAACTATGTATTGTAAACTGAAAATAGTATTGAAATTCAGGAAAGGGGAAATTTGAGAAGCATGTCCACTAGGGTGCGCTTCATGTGGTGTGAGCCTTGGGAAACCTCATGAACTATGTGAGATGTTTTCAGAAGCGACTGCGGATGTAATGATTTTGGGTGGAGAACAATTGGCAGCCAAGCTCGTCTAACCTAACAAAAGCTTGGGCCCTAAAAATGGAGGGGATCTGACCCATTGGGACCTGCTGTTTCCTTCCTTCAGCTGACCTAGCAAAGTCCATATTACAGTGTTGTCACTGCCTGCATGGAGTTCATATACAGACAAAACTATAATCAAGAGGACCTCTGATTATTCAAGCTATTTAAACAGGGTGGTTAAAACATATTGAGTAGCATTACTTTATTGTCAACAAATCATCCCAAGATACTCCAATATGATACAAATAAACAAAACATGCTTTTTACCCAGTTAATAAATTTAGCAGCTCTGATACAGAATTTCCACTTCATTTTTTTCTTTTATATGTTAATCAGTTAAATTAAGTACAGTAAGATATACTTGTTGATTTATTTCTTAGTAAGAAACTGCAACATGGCTCTGCTGTACATGGCTATAAAATAAAATCATAAGATACAACAATCAAACTTCTGGTTTGTAGCAATTCATTCGAATCTGAAAGAGCTATTGTGAAATGAATGTTTCCAGCACAATATCTGTTGAAGTTGATTTTAGTGTGGAAAGCCATGATATGATTTTGGGTCATGTCACTATCCAAAAACTGACTCACTCACTGAAAATGTCTCTTTGGGCTTGCATTACAGGGATCTTTCAACAGAAGATCTTTCAGCTTGCATTATGTTCAGGGATATTCAGTCAGCTCAAACTGATGGGGACGAAGAAAGGCCTAAAAACAAGCCGTTTCTATAGATTAATATGATCTGGACAGTAATGTGTAAGATAAAATAGAAGTCAAATACAGTATTTTTTGTGCCTAACCCAGTGCAGATTGATGCAAAATACAAAAAGATTGTGCTCAATCACATCTGCAAAGACTGGAGATTTTTGGTTTGGAAAGCAAAATACATATTTCTCAACTCACAATTTATACTAACCTTTCTCATAGGTGTATCAAAATGTGTATCGTCACGTTTCTCAGATATACATGTGAAAGTAAAGCTAGAATAATGGGTCACATAATTGATATCCATCCCCAAATCCTCTGATGTCTTAAATGAGATACAAGGCTATAAATCCATATGGATTTTTTAAGACCAATTCTAAAATGCATACCTAGAAAGAGTGGCTAATGGCCAAAATAATGTTAATATATAATAATAGCAGAAAAGCTTATAAATACCCATTTTTAAATATATTTACTCAAAATTCACTACAAAATGTTTTAAAACAATGTATATCAGAGCCATTTCACGGCATTTAATTCTATTTACTTAATTGCACACTTGATGCCAAAATGTCAACAGGACAAATGACATGGAGTGGAAGTTCTCCAAATTAACTCGCATAAATAAAACAAAACCAATCACTAACATAAACTGCAGATTGAAAAGAACTCACTGGCTCAAGAAAGTGGAACAGTTTATGAACCAGGATGGTCATGAGCCAAGGAGGTCATTCATTAAAAGAGATGCTCTTCCAAAAACTGAGGAAACTGAGTGCAAGTAATCTCATTAGTTCACAGACTTCATACTTGACACAGTACTTCAGCTGCATAATAAAAACATAGTTGTCTTTATTATTTTTACTACTACTACGCTCAATCACATCAGCAAAGACTGGAGATTTTTGGTTTGGAAAGCAAAATACATATTTCTCAACTCACAATTTATACTAACCTTTCTCATAGGTGTATCAAAATGTGTATCGTCACGTTTCTCAGATATACATGTGAAAGTAAAGCTAGAATAATGGGTCACATAATTGATATCCATCCCCAAATCCTCTGATGTCTTAAATGAGATACAAGGCTATAAATCCATATGGATTTTTTAAGACCAATTCTAAAATGCATACCTAGAAAGAGTGGCTAATGGCCAAAATAATGTTAATATATAATAATAGCAGAAAAGCTTATAAATACCCATTTTTAAATATATTTACTCAAAATTTACTACAAAATGTTTTAAAACAAAGTATATCAGAGCCAGTTCACTGCATTTAATACTATTTACTTAATTGCACACTTGATGCCAAAATGTCAACAGGACAAATGACATGGAGTGGAAGTTCTCCAAATTAACTCGCATAAATAAAACAAAACCAATCACTAACATAAACTGCAGATTGAAAAGAACTCACTGGCTCAAGAAAGTGGAACAGTTTATGAACCAGGATGGTCATGAGCCAAGGAGGTCATTCATTAAAAGAGATGCTCTTCCAAAAACTGAGGAAACTGAGTGCAAGTAATCTCATTAGTTCACAGACTTCATACTTGACACAGTACTTCAGCTGCATAATAAAAACATAGTTGTCTTTATTATTTTTACTACTACAATAATAATAATAATAATAATAATAATAATAATAATAATAATAATAATAATAATAATAATTACTACTACTACAATAATAATAATAATAATAATAATAATAATAATGCATGGAATTGAGACAAAATGTATAAATATAATATATTAAATATGTTTTATACACATTTATTTATTATCAGGCTTTCCTGATGAGTAACTTCTGAGTGGAGGTGGAATCTTTGCAATCTAACTGCAACAGTTTTGTTTCAAAACAATACTTCTGTACATCTCAAAATAAACTTCTCAGTTAGGTATAGTTTATCTGTAGATTAAGGCTCTAGCAGAACCAAGTGTGCTGCTTATCTAGTCAGCACTTCTGGGCATCACAGCGCATGGAAGGAAGTCTTACCCTCTCGAGCTCCAGTGATGGACACACTGGCGGGAATGTCCGTCATCTCCCCCAGTCCACTCGATAGATCCACAGCTGTTGTAGTGGCCTTTCTCCCCGGCCAGGAGGAGGTTTGTTTTACACCAGTTGTTCGGGTAAAGAAAGTATCGGTACTCAGTGGGTTATCGGTGTCCGCGTCTGGAGAGAAAGTCTGGGCTATCACAGTATTTAGGACAAGCAGAAAGACCGTGAAAACCACACGGCAAGCGCGTCTCTCGACACACGTTTCCATTATAAAGGCGACCGGGCGTACTTCCTAATAAATAAAACGCCAAAGTGGTCCGGGTCACCATCGGAAAGTGAGTCCCTTTAACAGTTTCCCATGAGTAAATTCCTTATGTTGGTTTTAAAGTTGGAGATGAAGTCTTGGAAGGGTTATATTTCATGCAGCGAGAGGAGGTGACTCCTCCCCTCAGGCAGGCGATAGCGGTTTCCACCCCATTCCTCTGGATGAACGCACTTTCACAAATGTGTGCTCAATTCGGTTTATGACCGTCAAATGATGCCACAACAGGTGGAATTCTTATTTTTCCCTCTCAAGTCTAAATCAAACACCAGTGCATTAACACTACACGAAATCATTTGCTCCCCACTTTTAGACATTTCTAATGCATTAAGACATGGGAGAAACACTCATAAAATATAACATGTTAAATGACATTCACAACTGACACCAGTGATAATGCAACTTGACAATTATTTTTAAAAAGATCTGGCATTTCCTGGCAACATGAATGAGCATAAAACGGAGCTAAACTTCATGCACCTGAACTAGAAATGTAATCACAGCAGTTTATTCATTATTAATGTGAATTGCACTTTACTGTCATGGTAGACTTCTTTTAGAAAGCAAGGGGACCTGGGCTCAAATCCCAACCTTGCATACAATCATTAGAGTTCGGGATTGACAGATTACCATGTAGTTTCACAGTATGGAAATAACAGATTTTGATTCTCATGCTAAATCACTTTTGTTCCACTGAGAAAAAAAAAGTCTAATGAGTTTGGTGCATGAACATGAAGGTGAGCAGATGACGACAGATCTTCTGTTTAGAGACATGAATGAGCATAAAACGGAGCTAAACTTCATGCACCTGAACTAGAAATGTAATCACAGCAGTTTATTCATTATTAATGTGAATTGCACTTTACTGTCATGGTAGACTTCTTTTAGAAAGCAAGGGGACCTGGGCTCAAATCCCAACCTTGCATACAATCATTAGAGTTCGGGGTTGACAGATTACCATGTAGTTTCACAGTATGAAAATAACAGATTTTGATTCTCATGCTAAATCACTTTTGTTCCACTGAGAAAAAAAAAGTCTAATAAGTTTGGTGCATGAACATGAAGGTGAGCAGATGACGACAGATCTTCTGTTTAGAGCAACTGATCTGCAGAAGCTGCAACTTGACTGCCATGTAAACAGACATGCAGCATGCAAATAGGTTTGCATATTAAACCTAGGCTATATTAATTTTGCATTTCAATAATCAAAAATCAATTATTTGGTAGTTAAAAGTTATTTTTGAAGAATTAACTTGGCCAGGAAGTTGAAAGGGGGCACGTTCTAGTTTGAATGGTCATGGCACTTCTGAGTGTTGTGACCTCAGTGAGGTCAGTAAAACATAAAAGACTAAATTTACTTATAATCTGAAAATTAAATGCCCATGGTGCATATTAAACCTTATACAAGCATTTCAGCAGAGAAGATCTTCACGGCAAATTAATTCACAATGCATGACTCTGATTGCACATTCCTGATTTTTCAGATAAACATTATTAGTTTCCTTCAGATTTTCCAGGAAATAAAGCTCCATCCTCCAAGTACTACCTGACAAATGCAGTAAATAAAATAGTCTATATATTTCAAGTGAGTGATGATTTAGTCCCATGTGTCCACTTTTTGCAGGCCAGCTGGTTAGCAGGGCACAGTTGTTACATGCTCAGTTGGACTGAGGATGGACAATCTTGTCTGTGGTGGTGATAAAGGAGGAGTGATGGTAACGATCACGGAAGGCAAAGTCTGCATTTTCCTCTGTTAGCTGCCTGGTTTCCATGCCAACAGCTGACAAAGAGGGTGTCACCACAATCTGGTCCTGAAGGGCCCCATCTCGCCTAATAAGAGAGGCAAATGATTGGTAATGTGAGGTTCGGTTTTGCGTACATTCATAGTTCTAATCACATCATCCACAATGGATTCTGCCACAAACCCACATAACAGTAATATGTTTGTAAGTGCTTTATTCAGTTTTAATTGAAGAACTCTCATAATACGCCAAGCTAAAGAACAGCATCATTAATCAGAAGACATTTTAAAATTTGGAGACAATAGCTTTGAATTTATCTTCATGTAACACCTACTCTCAGTCTCAGCTCATTTGGAATAGTAACATATTCGAAATATATTCTGTTAACTCAAATTGGTGTTCTGCAGAATGTCTGTAAAATAATCAGTACTTTTCTTTTGGATGGACAGAAATTCAGATCGGATCTATTTTTGTGTTTTCTATACAAGAATTGGTGGAAATGGCAATGCCATTATTGTGGTATTTTATGTATCTGGTAAACCTGCCCCTAAACATTATAAAAAAATTGTATAAATATATTCTGTTAACTCAAATTGGTGTTCTGCAGAATGTCTGTAAAATAATCAGTACTTTTCTTTTGGATGGACAGAAATTCAGATCGGATCTATTTTTGTGTTTTCTATACAAGAATTGGTGGAAATGGCAATGCCATTATTGTGGTATTTTATGTATCTGGTAAACCTGCCCCTAAACATCATAAAAAATTGTATGTCAGACATCTTTTCCTGTCTAAGTAAGTGGTTCTTGGCCACACAAAGCTGCAATAAGGATCAGACTTTATGCTGAAAAAGTCAAGTCTGCCTACAGAAGACTATGTAACTTACCTCCCCAAATTCTGCAGCGAGGTCTTGAGCCACCTGAAGAAACTGAAGCGAGCTGCTGCACCTGTGGGCAGAGAATGTAATTTTTTATTTCCTGACAAGAAAAGTCATCATAAATAATGATGGATATGTGCATAATACACCTCTATTTTTATTTGACTTTAATTTAAATGGTTAAAATAATCATCCTGTTATCAAAATTGTGACAAACCGATAGAAAGTGTCTTTTAAGCTCTTAGTCTTATTAGGCTTATTTCGCTGAAATAAGCAGTGTGTGGCATCCGAAGTGTTTATCAGACAATTTTCAGTGATGAGCAACTGGGCTTATTTCTCGAATTTTCTCAAAGATTATTCAAATCAATTAAAAAAGTTAGGAACAATTACAATTACCTGTTGGCAAACCTGGGCTTGTTGTTCCAATGTAGAGAAAGAGGATAAGGGCGACTGTAATGTTAATCAAGGCGTACATCCACTGGATAACGAACATTATCATAAAGGAGCACAATGCCTAAAGAAATAAAAACAGCATTAAAAATGTGAACTTACAAGCTTATTGCTTACAGGCTGGATATTTTTGCCAAACTTACACCAACTAACGAAACCCAGTGGTTGCAAAATCTGGCATAGACCGAACCCTGGATTGATCTTATTTCTGATTCTTCAAGATTTGTTTCTGAACCTGTGAACGAAAGGTATATAAGGTGAAATACAGATTTTGATCACTATATTGAGGAGTTATGTAACATTTTGTAGAGAGTTACGCACCATTTCTGTCTATCTGTTCTCTTGGGAGCTGTTCAACTGGGCCAGAATTAGGCAAAGACTGTTTCCTCTTGGCTTCTGTTGTAAGGTCAAATTCCATCAGTCCTATCTGGCTGCTGGTATCATCATCTAATCCAATAGTTTGTTCCGGCTCCCTCTCATCTTTTCCTTTATCTAATTCTCCATTGCTGTTCAAGTCCAACCCAAAACTGTTCATCAGCGTTTCTTTAGCTGGAATCTTTGACTTCCTGCCCCGGGTCTTGGAGGCAGGAAGAGAAACTCTCTGTTGATCAGTGGTGTCCGTGCTGGGCGATGGAAATATTTGGTCCATGTCTTTGGTGAACTCCAGCAGTGTGCCATTCACAGGTTTACTGATGGCTCCACTGCTGCCGTAATGGGGGTGAGTGCTGGACACCAGTGATCTTCTGGAGCTTGACCTCCTGATCAGCGTCGTCCTTTGCTGGACCTGCAGCTCATGGGTTTTCACCACACAGAAATAGCAATAATCAATTATGCTGTAGGTTAGCATGAAGTTGATGGTGACGATGGGAGCCAGTACATTGACCTGGCCGACAAAGATGAATGCCATGGAGATCAAGCTGGTCAGACAGATGGCAGCCACAGGTGTCTTATTGGGCCCTCGCTGTAATACATATAAAGATAAGAGAAAGGTAAATCTATGGCTGTTACAAAACCTAGTGAGCTGCCTTATTGTCTACTCACTACATAGACACATTCTAAGGAAGCATCCCAACTGAAATGAAACCTTAAGTGACTGACTTGTACATGGGTAGCATCCCTGTGTGTTACTTTGGTGAATTTAGATATTATATTTATAGTAAACATTTGTCTGTTTTTTTCCTGAGCTCCTCACAATGCATTATGGGATCAGACAGGAGTGTCTAGTCATGTCTACTTCATCTACTCCACAAGATTTTATTAATCATTTACAAGTTCACATTATGGGTTTGGCTCCTGTACCCTAATTTCTTTCATGCTCTTCAGGTTATGTAATGAGCGAGTAGAAGTATCTAGTTAAAACATCCCAAAAAAGAAATCTCTCATGTCACCTCAGACCCAGATCCCATAAATCTCTGGGATGGAGGTGCTACTGCTACTGGCTGGCACAGCTCCAGATCCACCAGGGTTGGTTTTTTTTTCTGTGCTTCCTGCGTTTGTTCTGGGACTTTGATTCAGGGCGAGATGTCTCGGGCGAACTTGTAGCCCATAGAGAGGGGTCAGACAGAGCTCAGGCGAGGGAAAGGGTGTGCTGTGCTTTTTGAAAGCCACAATTGTTACAATTCATTCCTTCGCGTTTTTTGGAGCGAACTCTGGCACACTATAATTAGGAACCCATCCTGTCGTCTATGGAGCTAAAGGTAAACAATTCATTAAAGTGGCACAAAGTGCATGAAAAACAAATGTTTAATTTCACTCGTTATACTAAGCGAATTGTTAAAGTTTGATAATTTATTAACCTCTGAGAGAACTCATTATAAGTACATTCCTGATTTTCCAAATGGTTTACAATCACAGAATAGATTTAGCATTGATTTATCAACATCTAAATAAAACAAATCTACAAAATTAACCATTTTATTTTGTTAAGCAAAAAACCACACAGTCTTGCATTCCCTGTTTTGAAAATAGCCACAATAATATCTCCTTATAAGCACCCACCCCTTTCCCAAGAAATCCCAGAGCCGGGATGACTCTCTCCTGGGCGATACACTGGAGGATCCTGGGTGCACCGTACAGGCCGCCCATGCAGGAGGCCAGGGAGGAGATGTAGAGGCCCAGCAAAAACAGGAAACCAACCAAGGAGACCTGGGAAAAAAACAAACACAGAGGGGAAGAGAATGTAGAGGGCTCCACCCAGCTCTGTTCCGCTTGGCCAGACTGAAAAAAGCTTATAATGTGTTGAAAAGTAAATCAAAGAAACAATGTGTAATCTGACAAAACCCATAATGAGAGAACGGGCAATTACAAATAATACAGTAAGGTTGATTATGTGTATGAAACCCCAACTTCTGTAACACCGTAATGTACAAAATGCACCTTTTTGTAGATTCAATATCATATTTAATATGCATTGTTTTGTATGTAGAGTGTTAACCCCAAAACACCACAGCCCACATTAAGGAACAGCTGGGTCAGCCACAACCAGGCCACAGCCTTACACATTCATAAACTATGTAGCTTAGTTCAGCAGCCTACTGTAATCTATGCTGACTGGCAGCTGTACGGCTATCAAACGTCAGGGTATGTGCAAGGTCAGTGCGCAACTGGGCTCCATTCTCATTCAAACACTTACACCAGCTGTAGCGTTTAGAATGACCACAAATGCCTCTGTTATGAGGGCCTGC